CAAGGAATTTCTACTCTGAACATACAGTGCTGTTTACACCGAGCTGTTTCTCTGACTTCAGAGTAAGATACCAAACTTGGTTTTCCTACCATTTCACTTCATACTGAAGGAACAGCAAAGAAATGCTTTATCGTACTACATTCAGTAATATTCCTAACCTGAATGGGCAGTTTGCAAAGAAGCAGGGACATTAAAAGGAAACAAAGTTCTCTCGCTTACTGTTATTATTCCTTCACTGTAGAAATACTGTCCATTTGTGACAGAGCACTACTCCCTGCTGCTATACAGTGCTTTGGGGATTATGAAGGGGACGTGGTATTGTTACTTTTCTCACCATTCACATCAGATTTCTTTTTGTCAATGATCTCTTTCTAGACCAGAAGCTTTATGATGAATGAAACCAAAATGATGGAGTTCATCCTGATTGGATTTTCAGAGTTTCCAGATCTGCAGATTCCACTATTTGTCTTTTTTTCCCTGACTTACCTGGTCACCCTCACGGGAAATGTCCTGCTAATGACAATTATCAGGCTTCATCGTCATCTTCACATCCCCATGTATTTCTTCCTTTCCATTCTCTCTTTTTCAGAAACTTGCTATACATTTGCTCTCATTCCCAAGATGCTGGTAAATCTAATAACAGAAGAAAAGGCCATTTCTTTCACTGGGTGTGCTGTTCAGATGTTTTTCTTCATTGGCTTTGGAGCCACTAACTGTATGCTTCTAACAGCCATGGGGTATGACCGCTGTGTGGCTATATGTAAACCTTTACATTACAAAGTCCTCATGAACGACAGAGTCTGTAGACAGCTAGTGGCCTTTGCAACAGGGACCGGCTTCACCTTGTCCCTGATAGTTACCTACTTTGTATTCACATTGCCTTTCTGTGGAGGGAAGGAAATTAATCACTTCTTCTGTGACATGGCTCCTGTCATCCAGGCAGCTTGCACAGAAAATAATGGAATTGAGACAGTCATCTTTATTTTTGGTATTGTGGTGGTGTTTGGCTCATTCTTGTTGATTCTTCTCTCGTACCTTTTGATCTTCCACACCATCCTCAAGATCCCCTCTACTGAGGGGAAAGGCAAAGCCTTTTCCACTTGTGCCTCCCATCTCACTGTGGTTGTTGTGCACTTTGGGTGCGCCTCCATCGTTTATTTAAGGCCCAAATCCACCTATTGCCTACAGGAGGACACTCTGATTTCTGTCACTTACACTGTGGTGACTCCCTTGCTGAACCCTGTGGTTTATAGCCTGAGGAACAAGGATGTGCATTTGGCCCTTCGGAAATGCCTGGGAAGAAAAGTGTGCACATGGATGAGATGAAGGAAGCTCCTTCAAGTTCTGGTGTGAGTGGGCTCTCCCTTTAGTTATATGGCTATTTTTGTACTTTGGCACTGGAAAAGCAGGGTACACCTCAGTTTGGAATAATAATGCATATCAACCTGGATTATCCTATGATAATCTGTAAGAGGAGAAACTGCATTACTAAAAGCTGACCTGCAGCCACTGCTCGCTGCCAGCTACATTGCTTACAGTTTGAGATAGTAACAGAGCTGAAAAGAACATTGAGATATACTGAGTAGAAAAGGACTGCCTACAATATTTGGATAACTTGGTCTTTACAAGAGGTGCATGGCATTTATTGTCCTTTCTTATCCCCACATTGGCTTTCACTTGAGAGCCAGAGATAATTCCTGACACACAGACTCATAGAAAAAGTTAGACTGGAACGGGTCTCTGGGGGTCACCTCACCCAGTAACCAATTTCTGAAGAAGGGAACCTCCTGACGGACGCTCCCTTGCACCAATGTGTCATTCTTCGCAGGCCTTGAGATCACGAGTACAGTCCTGAAGAACATTATGTCATCCCTCATTTTGTACCACCCTGGAGAGGGCAGAAGAAGAATGGTCTTGTCTTTACAACCCGGGTAGGCCTAGAGCCATTCAATGAAGTATGAATCTTCTTCAGCCCAGCTGCTGATGGCCTCTGCTCTGCGAATAAAGCTCCTGGAGTTTCATCAGACGTATGTCACAGCGTGCCTCTGGGCCCCCAAGCTGGTGGCTGTGAGTGCCAGGTCCATTAATGCTCCATTCAAGCTGAGACTGTCAGAGAGCAAAGCTGGGCTTGTCACTCTTCTCCTCTTGGCCACTTGGTGTGAGACTGAGCAACACCTTGTTCGTCTGGAGTGTGCCAGTTCTCTGAACACAGGGAAACAGCCTTCCACTCTATGTCACCAGGTCACAGTCCATAAACCTGAAGCACGGTCAGAGGAGAGGACAACAGTGACTGTGATTTCCTCTTGCTCTTGTGCCTTGTGCCCATTATCTCAGCGGGAGAGAGACAAAGCTGCTGTTAAGTCCCGCCAGGGAACAGATCTGTTTCTGATTCTCCTCTGTCTAAAGCATCTGCCCTGGTGACACCACCCTGACAAACACCATCATGCCCAACGGTTGGGCTGGCTGCGCACAGCCACGGTGGAGTTTGAGGGAGCGGTGTATAGGTACCTGCAGGATGCAGCTCTGACATCTTGCTCTGGGGCTGGGTCTTCTTTTGCTCATGCCGGAGGCTTACTTCCACTTTGAACTTCAATTCCTTCCTCCCCACTCAGATTCAGCATGATCAGAGGCAAACCCCAAGTCACTCGGTGCCCATGGAAGCACCTTTTTCCCATCTGAGAATGGCAGTGTGTGAATCTCACGTTCTCCCTTCCTGCACACATGCAGGATAAGCCCTGCTAAAGGCACCTTCTTTCTAACCACATTGCAAAACACATCAGAAGAACTTGCTCAGAGCACGCGCTTTCACTGACTCCAAGCATCCCGCAAGATTTTGCCCATTCCTTTCTAAAGAAAGCTGCAGAACCGAGCCTGGACTGATGAGGACAGTGTCAGGGATCACTAGAAGGAAGTGCATCTTTAACACATTTTGCTTTTGAAATTATCTTGAGCTTAAGCCCTCCAAAGTTTAAATCCTTGACAACATGTCTCCCTTTGGCCAGAAAATGTGCTCCACCCCACTGCTATGTTCCCCTGGACTCCCTATGACTGACCCAAGCCGAGCACACAAGATGGGGGTGCCTTTCCTTGCAGACCTCCTTTCAAATACAATGACATCTCATTTGATTACCATCACAGGCCAAGACTGCAGGAGATTCACCTTTCACGCTTCCACAAATGCCAGGTCCACACGGGCATCTAAGCCCCTAAACTGAAGATAATTTTTGGTATGCTGTACAATCTGATGCTTTTTCCCCATCTCCACCCCACACTCGATTGTGGCTTTCTCAATCTCTACTGGTTTTTGCCCTTAGGGAAAACCTCTGGTGTTTGGGGTTTGGATATTGTGGAGGGGTTTCACTGGGAGTATCCAATGGGAATCACTTCATCCCTGAGACTGCAAAGGGAAGCACAGCTGAAGAGCACAACAGGACAGGGAGGAGCAGGAGAAAATGGCTCTTCCAGGAAGCAGCCACAGACGGAGGAGTGGATGGAAGAACACAGGAGGAAATGGCTGAGAAGAGAACTGAACGTGTTCTAAGTCAAGGGTGAAATCCCACATTTTATGTGACAGGGATTGAGGAACAAGTGCTACAGCAGCAGTGGTTCTGATTCCCACAAAAGCAATACGCTGCCGGAGCCTGAACTGAGCGTGTGGGTCTCATGACCCTACTCTGCTCTGGACATCGGGGCCATCGGGCCCAGGCTCTGCCTGCCCCAACGGCACAGGAGAGGGTTCCATGGCACCTGCAGAGCAGCCGCACGAGGCATCATTAAGGAGTCAGCGTTTAATGATGCCAAGTCTGATGGGGCTTCTGCAAGTGGCACAGGTGATTCCCACTGCTGTTGTTGTGCTGCGACAGAGGCCACAGTGGGGCTTGTTAAAAGTTGGAGTTCTTCTTTTGCCAGGCATTTGCATGCCTGCTGGTGACAATGTTAGGGGCTGGCTGTGCAGGGCCCCCAGACAATACTTGGCAAAGCCCCCGGGGCTGTGGGCAAAGCCCCCGGGGCTGTGAGCAAAGCCAACCCAACAACAGACCGTTCCTCCCCAAGACAAGGAGAGATGGTGACCTCTGCTACTCTGCCTTCCTTGGGCATGGGCAACCAGCACCACTCGCTCTGCAGCTCTCCCCCTCTGCCACGGCAGAAGGTGGCACCAGGCTTTACCTGGGACTCCCCCCAGCCTACCCAGCCAGTGGCTCGTTCCACCCGTGCATCGGGGAAACACATCTTGTCACTTGCCTTGTCTACTCTCATCTCCATAATAAATAGAACCTGTCTCCTTTTTGCAGGTACAACCACAAATGCATCTACACATTCATTTCCACGGCCACTTGTCAGGAGTAAGCTCAGCTCGTGCTGGTATTACGCTGAACCCAAAACTGTGTTACTGTGGTTGGGATTGCAAAACTGCAGCCAGGATCGAGAAACAAGGGCCACCCTTTTGGAAAGACCCAACCTTCCCATTTTCATTTCTTCAGGCATGAAGGGTCTAACACAGAGGGATCTTCCCAGTCACTACCTCGTCCTCTTCCTCTGCCTTGCCCCAGCAAACATGGCACTTTCTGCTCAATTTCCCATATTGCCCCTGATAATTCCAGAGCAGCAGGATCCCCTTTGGTCCAAAATATTGAATCTGCAGCTCTGAGCCATTGCTGACTCCAGTCTGTCTCTGCACTCATTAAGTCCTTCCTTCCTTCCTTGCTTTCTTCCATTTTCTCTCCTATCACGTGCCTTGAAGGCTCAGAAAATGCCCAATGCCATTGACAGCAGGTCTGGACATGCCCCCTCCGAGTCCCTCTGCTCTGCCAGAGCTTGCCTGTGCCCATATCCCCAGTTCACAGCTCACTCCTGGGCAATGTCCAGGCAGGCTGCTGCCCTCCTGCTCAGCGAGGGCTGTGCCCCAGCCCCACTTTGCAGAGCTTTCTGCCTGCAGCCAGCTCCTTGCCTCGGGCCAGCCGGGAGACACTAGTCCAACACAGAGCACAAAAGGCCCCATGTCCCACACGTCAGTGCAAAAGCTTTTATTGTGCCCTCAGACTGCACAGCTGGGTTGGGCAAGATCCTTGCAGGTGTCGCAGCCCTCTCCTCGCCGGTGTGGGGCAAGAGCTTCTACTTTCTGCTCAGTGGAACTTCTGCGCAGCCCTTCGCCCGGGGCATCTCTTCTTGCTCTTCCTCTTGGTGGTCTTCTTCCTGGAGGGTGAGGCCTCGCGCTTTCCCTGGCGGACGGCCCTGCTGCGGCCCCTGGGCCTCACAGTCCCTCGCAGGAGCTGCTGCAGCCCAGAGCACCTTTGCAGCGCCGCCTGCATGTGGGATGGAGAAATGCGCTTCTGCTTGCTCTTCTTGCAAACGGCAGCAGCCGCATCCACGATCTTGTGCGTCACCCACTGCAGCACCGCAGCCAGGTAGACGGGGGCCCTGGCTGAAAAGTGCCGGGCAAAGAGGCCTCTGCGCAGCTGCCTGTCGATGCGGCTCACGGGGAAGAGCAGCCCGGCCCGGGAGGAGCGGGAAGAGCGGCTCTTCTTGGTCTTGGCTTCCCTGCCTTCGGAGGGGCCCGCAGAGCAGGCGGGGGGTTGGCACTGCATCTCCTGCTCAGGCCCCACGCACACCTCCTCTGCCCCCGACATGCTGCCGGCAGCTCGCTCCCGCAGCTCTTTCCCGGCGGTGCCTGCCCGGGCCCTGCCCGCCTGCCCCGGCTTCCCTCGCTGGCCCCGGCGGCTGGTTCCTGACCCCGGGCTGGTGCTGCCTGCGCCGGGCCAAGCCTTGTCCTGGCAGGGCGTCCCCAGCTGCTGGGGCCTGGCTGCTTCTGGGCTCTGGGCCTGGGCTCTCCCGGGCAGCACCAGCCAGGCCTCCTCTTGGCTGGCAGGGGCCAATGGGAGAGGGCCTCCCCTGTGACCTCACCTCTCTGCTTGTGACATCATGCCCGTGGGCTCGGCCCCCGGTGGCTGACGTCAGCCCGCAGCTCTGCCCCGCAGCTCCGCTCCCCTTGCCCGGGGCAGAGGCTTTCCCAGCGCCTGGCCGGGGGGCAGCCGCTGCAAGGCCGAGGGCTCTGCTCTCCTCTGCCTCCTCCAACTGCCCCCTGCCCTCACACTGCTCTCCCTGCGGCCCACATTCTCCCAAGCTGCCATCTTCATGAAGGGCAGTGATGGTGCCTCTGTACTGGGCACTGGTGAGGCCTCACCTCGAGGGCTGTGTTCTGTTCTGGGCCCCTCACTACAAGAAGGACACTGAAGCACTGGCGCGTGTCCAGAGGAGAGCCACCAAGCTGGTGATGGGACTAGAGAACAGGTCATACGAGGAGAGGCTGAGGGAACTGGGGAGGTTTAGTTTGGAGAAGAGGAGGCTGAGGGGAGTCCTCATTGCCCTTTACAACTACCAGAAAGAAGGTTGTAGAGAGGTGAGTGTTGGCCTTTTCTCCCAGGAGAATAACGACAGGAGCAGAGGAAATGGTCTGAAGTTGCAGCAGGGGAGGTTTAGATTAGATATCAGGAAGAATTACTTTCCTGAGAGGGTGGTGAGGCACTGGAACAGCCTGCCCAGGGAGGTGGTGGAGTCGCCATCCCTGGAGGTATTTAAGAAACTTGTAGACATGGCACTTCAGGGCATGCTCTAGTGCCCGAGATTATTGGGTTGTGTCTGTTTGTGAGTATGTGTTTTTTTGACCTTTTTTTTGTTTGGTTGGTTTTTTGTTTGGGTTTTTTTTTTGTGGTTGAACTCAATGATCTCAACTCTAAATGAAGTGGCTAACAGAGCACTCTCTAGCCAGGGTCCAAAGAGGCCTGGCAAGCTTGACTGACCTGAGAGGAGGATGTCCATCCTGCCCACATGTCCCATCCTGCCTTCCCTCCTCCTGCCTGTCCCTCAGGGTCCATGGCAGCTGCCTGCTATGGAGGGTGCAGCTGGACTGCAACTTGGAGGACTCCAAAGAGGACCTTCCAGCTGGCAGAACAGACTGCAGGAGTCCAAGTGCAGAAGAGGTTTGCTTCAGCTCTGGGGCTTACGAGTTCAAATACCAAAATGCAGACAGGGACTTTAAGCAATCCCTCCACAGACTCTTCCCTGCTGGGGCAGTGCCTGGTGTCACCATTTAAATAAAACTCTCAACTGACAGTGTGCTTTCTCCCACTGGGTGAGAGGCAGTTACTATCTCCTGATCTCCCTCTTCACGCTTTGCTGCCTAAAACCTGCAAGACATGCCTCAGGCCCATCACGGCACTGTGAGGACTTTTATTGTACCCTTAGGCCATAGCACCGGATTTGGCAAGAGCCTTGCACGTGGGACTGCCCTTGCCTCGCCAGTGTGGGGCAAGAGTTTTTGCTTTCGTCACGCTTGAAGGTGACGCTCCTATGTGCAATCCTTCTTATGGCTGATTGATTGTTTAATATCCCTCTTCTTGAGAGGTGGGGCAACTGACTTCCTTCTTCGGTGTGTCCCTGCTTTGCAGATGGTGGTGCCTGAGAGGTGTTTCTTAAGTTCAGTTCCTTTGAGCAACCTGGTCTGGTGGGAGGTGTCCCTGCCCACGGCAGGGGGGTTAGAACTTGATGATCTTTAAGGTCCCTTCCAACTCTAACCATTCTACGATTCAGAGTGTCTTTGGCAGTCTGGAGAATATGCAATGGAGAAATGTGCTGCTCTGAAATTTTCTTGTCCATGTCTGCAGTCTCATATGTCAAGTACTGGAGCACAGGAACCAGACACACGGGGGCTTCAGCCCCAGTACATGCTGTCTGTTTCCCTCTGCACAACTGCCTGCCTTTGTGGCTCACAGAGAAGGCCAGCCCAGCCCTGGAAGAGCAGCTCATTTTGATCTTCACTTCTTTCTCTTGGCAGTTTCATGTCCTGTCTCTTTTTCAGGCATTTTGCAAGATAGTACACTGTAATCATACTTCCTTTATCGTATCTTGATGGGGGTTTTGTGTTGGGTTTTTTTTTGTTTGTTTGTTTGTTTGTTTTCTTTCCTGACTTTGTTTTCTGGTGTGACTGATTTGCTTAAAAAATTTTATTTTTAGAGGGTAGCTCATTTCTCTCTGCCTGGCATTCTTACCTACCTGTGAAATGCTTTCTTCACTTACTTGTTGTCCCAGCCTTGTAAAATAGCTATAAGCATCTCTTGGGCACTGGAGACTTCTTTTGTGATTGAGTCTCTCTGTAAATAAGGGGATAAATGTCCCTTTTGACTGGGTGGATAGGAACCAATGGGAAGCTGTAGCCTTCATTCCTCAAGCGCAAGAGGCAGCTCATCCTTTTTTGGCATCATTGGCATTGAAACACCCCCTGCTGTGTACTTCTCTGTGTACTTCTCTGTGTACTTATCATGGTTCAGGGATGTAAAATTCTTATAGGTTTACTAAGAATGTTACCTAATAACCCACACTATAATTTTTAATTTTAAGAGTGGTGAAGAATAAAGCAAGAGAAACAAATTCAATGGGTGGCCCTAAATGGCCTCTTGTAGGTGCTTGTATGAATGGATCCCATAAGTACTGGTTGTTGATGGAGAAAAAGCTACCGGAAAACAGCAAGACAAGGAGGAGGAGGCTATGTGCTGAGAGGTACTGTGCAAAAACCTCCCAAGGACTGATAAATTCTGGATCCCAGGAGTTCTGCTGGAGCTGCAAGACCTGGTCAGCCCAGAATACCAGCAGCCTGCTAAATCTGTACCACCAGCATGCACCAGCACCTAACAACATGCAGAATAACCCAGGTTGTTCCAACACAGGCTACAAGGTTGTGCATACATCTGATAAAACTCAGGGCCCTCTGAGGGACTTTCTGAACACCTGCCTAGACACCAAGAGTGTGTCAATACGCCCTTTTGCTGCTGAGTGTCCTCCTGTGCTCTGTCTTGTGGCTGCGGCTTTGACCAGGTAGCTATGAACAAGTGTGTGAACTGCACGAGGAGAGGAATAGAATGGATTTTGTGAATAGCCGCCTGCTTTTTGCAATAACAGCTTGGCTCTATCAATACCTTAACAGCTTGGCTCTATCAATAACTTAATTAATAAAAGGTGTTCTAGACATTGTTGGCTGTGATCTTTGCCTCCCTGAATTTGTTTTATTTTTAATGAAGGAAAAGGGAATTTAAAACTCATTTCCCAAAGAAGAGCTGTTTGGGACTGCAGAAGGTCATTGTTCCTCTGAGAAGTATAATATCCTGAGCTAATTTATTGAATTTAATCTCTCAGGTGATGACCAGAAAATTATCCTGCCCTACCGCTCTTAAGCTTGTGTCAAATACCACTTTTGTAGTTTTTTTGTTCTTTGAACTGAATAACACTGAAAAGGTTTCTATCAAAATACTATACATTATAAATACTTGTACACTGGGACGTATAGTAACTTGTTTGGAGAAAAAAAAAAACTCTTGAGATGACAAAGGGAAGCAGAATTCCAGACTAAGAAGAAGCAAAAGAAAGAAGAAAAAAATGGGGAAAGAGAAAAAAAATAATAATAAGCAGATCGGCATTATCTAATAGAGGAGATTTACAAGAGAAAACATCAACTGAACTAGTTAATCAATGGGTCGATCATCAGAGCTGGAAGCGCTCAAATTAAGACCAATCCTTTGATTGTTAGCGTTGGTTTCTCAGATGCAGGCATTATTAGAGCTGTGGTTTCAAGCTTTTTGAGTGTCAGAAAGTCATGATGCGATTTGATAATTTGCACCAGGGTCTGACACTAGGCTGAAGCTTCTGCTTGAACTGAAGAGCAGCAGGAAATATGTTCTTGCCGTTCAGCAGTGTTCAGAAATACAGGGCCAGCCTTAGCAGAAAGGGTTGAAATTCTCTCTTTCTACTATTTCTACCATTTTCCGTGCCATAGAATAAACCGCAAATAACAGTGGGTCTATTTTCTCTAGTAAACTGCTCATGTGACACTGTGGCGCCCTTATGGGAGTAGGATGCAGAAAAGCTGAGGGTGTCCTCTCCTGCTCCTCCAGCTGTGGCCACTGCCTTTGCAGAATATGTCAGATCTGGTAACACAGATCTAAATGACTCATTTCCCACTCATGTTTAGTCCCTCTTTATCTGTAAGAATCCAACCATTTCCTTTTCCAGATGGCATTCTGCCAAACTACATGAGACAAAATTTTCAGACTTCCTTCTGTAGGAGAGGCCTCCCATTCCTGTCACCAGTACAGCCGTTCTCTGCGCTCTCCTTTTGGTCTCTCTCTGAGCGGAGATGCTTCAACCATAAGGGGACTCCAGATGAAGCAGAGCCTGAGCACCAGCTTGTCTCTGTTTCTGGTAGGAACACATTTACCAAAGTTTATCATGCTCACAGGATGCAAATGGTCCTTATACATCCCGTGACCAGCTTTCACAGCAGATGAACTTATTGTTCCAAACAGTACTTTTTCTTCCCAGCTATTAGTCTTCCCAGCTTCCCTTCTATTTTGCACTGTTGAATTTTTCTGTTCTGTTGAGTCTTAGAAGTGCTTATGCACAGTCAATTAGTTGATCTTATTCACTGTAGCTTGCTGACCTGAGTGTATTCCATCAGATTTGATAATTTTTTTTCACTTCCCCAGTTCTCCGGAAGGCATATGTTGCCTCAGCTGTGGTACATTACATGCCTAGATGAGGAGCTGTGAGATTTAGGGATGCAGCTAATTTTGCTATAGGGTTTTTTTGGGTTTCCGAATTCTTTTGGTTCCCTTGTTTGCTTTTTTTTTTTTACTTTTGTAATAACAGGCTTCTGGTTTAGTTTAAAAAAAAACAGGTGCGTTATAATTGAATGGATCCTTCCCATGATACCTGACTTTGAATGGGATTTTATGAGTACAGTAGCAATTAATGAACCTTGTGTATGACTATAAAACTGTATTTTGGGAAAGGGCTATTTTTCCAAACCAGAATATGAAAGTGGAAAATCAGCTGACTTGGAGGGTTACATTATGATGAATCTTCCCATCTGAAAGCTACTTACAGAATTTCACTTATCCTGTGTAAGATATTTTTGTTCTAATGTACAGCTTTAAAATAAAAGCTAGGCTATAATCCTTTTCTCTTGGGCAGACATTATTGAGCACAAGGACCTTACTTGAGTACAATAACTTTATTTGTCTTTTCTGGCAAGGATGAACAATCCAGGATCATTTAGTCTCCTGAAATACAATAAAAAACGATTATCTGACTGTTTTTACAGATAGTCCTTCTCTTCACCTATTCCAAACAGATCATATACTTCTTAAGGTTCATTGATCAGAGCAATGCTGCAGAGTGTTCTGGGTGTAGTGCCACTAGTGCTTTATGTACCAGCACTTAAATTTCACTGCCTTTGCTCTAGATACTTCCTCTGATGCAGCTGGTATGAGATCTTTACATTCACAGTATATTCCTAGTTCCTACTGGCAGTTGTGGGAAATATTATTATACTCAGGTCCTTCATTTTTTTAGCCATTTCTGATTCAGAAAGTTCTGGCTACCGGTTTCCATGTATGTGGCCTTACCATCACATTGTTGGATTTCACCCCATTTTGGTTTCTCTGTTCCTTAAGAGTGAGTTGGAGAATGAACCGTAGCCATATTTGCTTACAAGAAGTTAGAAACACTGTGTTTTAGATTCAGTCAAGAAATCTTTCTCCTATTTACCTTCAGCATTGTCAACTGCCAAACGATGTTTTCAGCCTTCCAGATCTTCACATTTTGAGATGTAGCACAACAAATTATGTATCAACTAAATAAACAGCAGGGGCTTCTTCCTGTAAGTCCAGAAGTCTGTTGGAGTCAGCTGCCTAGATCAAGCAAATGTTGAAATTCTCACATTTATGCCATTTTAAAATATTTTAGTACTTCAAACAGCCAGAAATTTCATCACTCTGTATAAGGGTCAGTTAAGAAATGGAGAAGAGACAGCATTCCTCAGCTGACCAGCAGTCTTACTGCAATAGGATGACTGTACAGATTTTCTGTTAGAGCCGTTAACTTACTTTCTTGATTTTAGACCTTATGTATGGTTTCTTTTAAATGGTTATAATTTCTGATTGTCTGGAGCAATAGTCAAATGTTAAATTACAATATGGAATAAATAAATAAAAGGATATAATTATACAGATGTTTATTTTTCTTAATGCCTACATGAAAACATTACAGTGTTCAGAGGTGCTGGGTGCTGGCTTGCCTCCTTTAAGTTAATGAAGATCCTCTGAAAGTTGAAAACCTTTAACTTAGTGCCTAAAAGAGGATGTAGCATGGGACCTTCAAAAGCTCCAGATTTATTTTGGTGCACAAAGGTGGTGGATCATTTTAGGTATTTACAAAAATGTTTTACATAAACATGTTTTACAAATGACACTTCCCTAAACTTGCACACTTGTGGGAAAAAAACAACAAAGAAATAACTCAAACCCCCCCCCTAAACTTGCACACTTGTGGGAAAAAAACCAACAAAAAAATAACTCAAACCCCAAATCCCCAAACAGGTCAAGCTGATTTTTAGTAGAGTTTGGTTTATTGAAACCTTTGCTTGTTTTGTGGTATTTTGTATTAAATGTATTTTTTAATGTTCCATCTACAAAGCTGTTCCAGTATTTTAATGATCCAAATGTCTTTTGTTAATTTAGACTAGTCATTTTGATTTTAGCATCATTATAAAGAATAATGTTTGGTTAATTTTCTCAGGGAAAGCAAAAAATTGAAGCCCAAGTCTCAGTTACGCAGGTCCGGAAGTACAAAGGAGGATTAGTTCATACTCCTGCTCATTTTCAGAATGTTTTACTCTCCTAACCCAGAGCAGAACAGTGTACGTAAGCCTTACACTAATCACTCAGGTGGCAATGCGCGTGCCTAATCTGTTTCCATTCCATTCATCATTTTTCTTAAATTGCAAAAGTTGTACCAGAAGCTCCAGACATCCCTCTTTCGTCATGCACATTTAAGGTTTCACAACTGTGGAAACATTAAAAAACATCGTGACAGTGGTGTAAAATTCCTTAGACAATCTATTCTCTTGCTTCTGCTTTCATCACGGAGTGTGTCTGTCTGCCTTTCCACTCCAGATAAAATCACTGATATTTCGGCATCAATTGAATGTTTTGTTCTTGCTCTAGAAGATCCTGTTTCATGGTCTCAGTTATGCCATTTACAAAATTACTTGCATGTTAGAAAATTCACCCTACACTACTCTTTGGATAATAACAATAGTCCAGCAAGGCACTGCTCTACCAGGATAACAAAGAATTACTTGTCTCCAGAGAAATGCAGTGACACGGCAGTAGAGCAGGTGGCCAATTTCTCATGCAATGAAACATATACTCCCTCCTTGGCTAACTAGGTCTCCCTATCATTTCTTTTCCTCTGTAGGATTGTTTGTTCCCCTCAGACACAGGTATTTTCTACAGCTGTGTCCATCCCTGCGAGGGAGATACATGAATCGTATTTTCTTGAAGACTCACTTTACTGTGCAGTCTCAAAATCTGAGTGTTAGTGTACGCTTTTCCTCATGCCATAGATCTGGACGACAAACAAAGAATGAAAAAAAATTATTGCAGAAAGGGAAATAAAACATGACTGCCAGAAAACCGAATGGAAGAAGATATCTTCAGAGATGTCACCTTTGTCAAGAGGTCCACCTAGTTTGGTGCCTTTGAGCTGCCAGGCCGAACAATCACTTTGGGAAGGTGGCACAGAAGGCAAGAGCCAACGTCCTGACGTGTCCTGGCTGAGGTGACAACCTTGAGCACAAGTGCTTACTTCTTTTGGATGAGACCACCATTTGCCAGCTTTAAGATGCCAGCCCACCTTCTGGTTTGCTTTCCACAGATTCTGGTAGGAAAGAGAAGCTGGAGTGTGATCAGAAATCTGCTATTGAACATAGCTGCCCAAACTAAAAGACAGCTGCAAAGCCATAAAACATTTTGTTCAATTCTGTGTTTCAAGCCTGAACCGGATGGCAACTAAATGTTGTCTGCCCAAAAGAAGAAGAATTCTAATGAAAAGAGTTCTGCAAAAGTGGCTGCGTTTCCTTCAGTAATTGCAGAAAGAAATATATGCCAGTCAGGGAGGGTAGAAGTGAGGTAAAGAGGAAGGAAGAGAATATAGCAATGGGTGAGAGAGGAACATTTTTTTGGCAGTGCTGTGGTTGAGGAAGTTCAGATGTATCTTGATGTCTCTGCTGCTTCATTTGTGCCTGCCAATATAAGGAACCCCCGCAACAGGGTAGGTTGACTTCCTAGTTTGAATGCTAGATCTTTTTCTTGCCAGCTACAAATGCAAGATCTTTTTCTACCTTTTTGTTCTGATGCTTTTCTCTTTACCAGCTATGACAGAAGAAATAACATATGCTAATCTGAAATTTGGAAACAGCTATGAAGTGGGTAATCTCACAGAGCCCGAAGACACTAAGGGAAAAGGTATAGTATCTATGAAGCTTTTATGATTTATTCTTGCTGAAGTAGATAAGATGGGAAATACTTTTAATTATATGCCCAAGCGACCTTTGTTAGCTTTGTTACTATCAGAAAAGTTATACTAGTTATAAATGTATCCCATTTTTGTTACTGTCATTTCTGCCTGAACTTTTTTAGAGTTTGAAAGGTATACCTGAAATACTGATCTTATTATTTCTCAGAAAAGCGTTTTACTGAGAGTTATACTGAGCTCCACAAGTAGTCCTAATTGTCTAAATCTCAAAAGAGTTAACTTGGACTAATTTACAGCTCCATGCAATGTCTCCATGAATTTTCATTCAAGCTTAGAAGTGCATTAGCTTTAACTGACTCACTTTATTTCACTTCTGAAGCTCTAGCCTGAATTAAGGCACTGTAAATGGCTGTATCTATTAAAGAGATGAAGGCATTTTAAATTCTATATTTTAAATAGTAACTTACTGATTTTACCAATTTAAAATTAAATTAATTGTGCTTAATTTGCGTTAAATTGTGAAGGTGAACTCTAGGTTTCAGTGATGCAACTCATGGGAACAAAGAACATAGAAAATGCTAGCTGTTTGTGGGGTTAGGCTCTGGAGCAGAGGTTTACAAACAGTAGGACAACTTGCTTGTGATTCAGAAGGAATTCTCTGGGGAATTCTATATCAAAGAGCAGTGGTTTCAAACACTGTTACGCTTCTTGAACATATGTTATGCTTTTTGAACATATGTTTTTTGAACATATGTTTTTTGAACATTTTTATGTTATGGTTTTGAGCATTGCCAAACTATTATAATTCAGGGGCTAAAAAAAAAAATAATTTTTAAAAAAATCTGAACTGTCTTTGTGTTAAACTCTGGGCTTCCTTTCCTTTAATGTCCAATGACGCCAGTATCCTCACACAACTCTAGATGTCCTGCTTCTTCATCCCAGGGTAGACAACGCATATTTTGTCATGAGAAAGCACCGTTCTGAGAGCGCACAGTACATTCTGTGGATTATTTTGCAAACATGAAATTGGAACAAGCACAATGAATAAATATATCCACTCTAGAGCAATGGGAGTACTGTACAGAAAGGAGGACCCAGTGCAAGGCCCCTTTAGCTGTGCTAGGTGTAGCAGAAGCAGTGTGAAGTTAGAAAGTGCAGTACAGGGAACCAGTACTTAAACAAACTCTTAAGGCAGTACTTTAATTAAAACAGTCAAAGCTAAAAACTACTGCTAAAACTACTGTTGCTCTTACATTCATATTGCTGCCCAGAAAATATCTTGTATTTGTTTATGAAATCACACTTTCAAACCACAAAATCTTTTTCTCTTCTCATCTAAAAGCTCCAGGAAGCGTGGACTATAATGCTTTCAGTCTTCAGCTTGGGGCTGTGACTTTGTAGGGGTAGGAACAATTTATTTTTGCCCTTTTGCTGCAATTTATATAAGTCTATTTAAAGCCCGCCTTGGGAAGTCAAATTTCTATTACTGAAGTGATAGAAAGGCAGGTACATAATATTCAGCTTCAGAGCATGTACAGAAACACTTAAGAAGAAGACCTTAAAGATATTAATATGTCCCAGCAGTCAATGCTTCCTTAAGGCTTATTAGGATCTATACGGTACGTGGCTCTCCTGTGCAGGCTTTATCTCTGAGTGTATCTGTCGTATGCCTGTGAGGTCAGACTTTGGAAAATAATGCAGAAGGAAGATGTTCTTTCTCTTTATGAAGGGCCTGGGGATTTCTTTTTTGTGCAATACTGAACAGTTAGAACTTCCTTAGAGTGGGTTTGCATTCTGTGATGAAATGCAGCTGCAAGGGAGAGTGGCAAATGTTATATATATTTAGCGAGGCTTTTGTCAGTGTCTGTTACAGTAAAATCCTACAGATTTTAAATCTGAGGAACTTATGGGCTGGATGGTGGACTGTTAGGTGGATTGAAAACAGGCTGGAGTACCAGGCTCAAAGGGCAGTAACTAATGGCTTAACATCTGTTTGGTGGTAGAGTCCTGCAGGGGTCCCTCAGGGGTTGATACTGAGCCCATGTTGCTTAATATCTTCATCAACAACCTGCAAAATGACATAGAGTGCAAATTTATAATGATACTAAACTAGGGGTGGTGGCTGATGCTACCAAGTGGTTGAGCTTCAAAACAGAGGAACCTTTCAAAACCTGAGGACTGGGTGAGCAGAAACCCCATGAAGGTTCAGAAATTGTTGTGCACTGAGGCTGGACTAATCCCAGGCAGTGGTACAGACTGGGAGCAGGCTGGCTGGGGAGGCTGGAAAGGTCCTGGGGTTTAAGGTAAATGGGAGTTTTGGGCTCCCTACCATAAAAAAGACATTGAGGTGCTGGAGCGGGTCCAGAGAAGAGCAACAAAGATGGTGAGGGGTCTGGAGCACAAGTCTTGTGAGGAGAGGCTGAGGGAGCTGGGGGTGTTCAGCCTGGAGAAGAGGAGGCTGAGGGGAGACCTTCTTGCTCTCTACAACTACCTGAAAGGAGGGTGTAGAGAGGTGGGGGTCGGTCTCTTCTCCCAAGTCACAGGCGACAGGACAAGAGGAAATGGCCTCAAGTTGCACCAGGGGAGGTTCAGGCTGGATATTAGGAAAATTTTTTTCACTGAAAGGGTTATCAGCCATTGGAATGGGCTGCTCAGGGAGGTGGTTGAGGCACCATCCCTGGAGGTGTTCAAAAGATGGGTTGATGTGGTGCTGGGAGATATGGTTTAGTGATGGTGTTGCTCTTTGTTTGTTGTGTGGGTATTTATTTTTGTCAAAATTAGGTTGACAGTTGGACAAGATGATCTTTAAGGTCCCTTCCAACCTAGAAAATTCTGTGATTCTGTGATTCTGTGAATATAAGCCAGCAGTAATCTATGTACCAGTTCAAGGCAACATCCATCACTTGGTCTTCTTTCACCTGGATATTCATCTACTTGAGCTTCTGTAGGGTGAGGTCTTGTACAACATTCTGCCCAGGCTTACTTTACCACAGAAGCTGACCACAGATTAGTTGTAGGAGAGGCACACTTCATAGTTTCCATTCCTGTTCCTTCAGCTCAACGTGCTAAATTTCAGTTTCTACTTCAGAAATTCACTCCCCAGTTTTAAATACTGCTTTCCCTTTTCTAGGGTAGCAATTTCCTCTTCACATTGCCATTCTTCTCCTTTGTTGGATTAAGCCAAAATGGTTGCGGCTCTCCACAAAGCCCATATCGTGGCAACTTTAATATATGCCTTAGATTTAGTGCTTCCTTAGCAAACTGAATGCTTTTTCTCCCTCTTTTAGTGCATCTTTGCCTGTGAAATCTTCCAGCTCCTATCAACAGGGTCATTTTTGGATGACCGACATGCTTAAAATTTCCTTCACTCAGGAAAAGATCATTACTTTTTCTCCTCATTGGGCACTCATTTCTGTATCTAGTTTGTAACCATTGTTACTGAAAAATTCTCTATGAATTCCTAGCTAGAAGTCTTAAACTACCACAAAGTACCAGAAGAGTTTACTGCAGCACTCAAATTAAACAGATTAGCACAGATAGATGCCACACATCACAAATTACTGCAACTCTGCAGTGCAAATTTTTTTTCAGCTTTGAGCAGTCAACGTTCTAGATTTTTCCAATACCTTGCTTTATCAATATCTTTACCACCACAGTCTATGGCCTTTGAAAAGCCCAAGACTGTCCACATTCTGCACTGAGCTGCTGTGATCTCTCACTGTCTTACTTTGTTTGGGCATCTTTTGTTGTGTACAAAGACTCTGCAGCAGGAATATGCAACCGTAAAGTAAAAGCAATTATTTATTGACCAGTGCACCACAAAGATGGCTGCAATATAGTAAGGTAATGTGTTCACCATTCCTGTAGTATCACGCTGCCACTTCATGACCGAATTCCTCCCAGGGCCTCCTCCTGCTTCATCTCGCCCTCCCTGGCCAGTAGTCCTGATTTTGGTGGTGCTGTGCCTGGCATTGCTGGTGGCGCTGGTGACCCTCACCGTTCTGTGTAAGTACTAATGCATTTCTGTTTGCTGGGGAGCTCAAGCTACTGAATAATATCAGACTGACGTGCCCTTTCGGTGCAATTTCTCGTTCAGCTGAGAACAGGCAGCCAGGCAAACCTATTTTCCCTTGGCAGAGCATCTTTGTCCTCTTCTCGACATGATGGGGCTAGAAGTGAGCAACACGGAGGGGAGCTGGAAAGGAGTGGAGTAGGAGATCCACTGCTTGCCCTGGCTGCTGTTGTCTGGTCTCCTAAAAAACTGTTTCCACATCCCTACTGCACTAACGATGGAGTGAATTCCTCTTTGATAATGCTGGATCTGAAGGGGAGGGAAAAGCTTTGTGTCACAGTAAATAGGTCATGCCCATTACCTCCCATCCGCAGTATTTCCACTGCGATCCAGAGCTGAAGTTTACATTTTTAGGAAAAAAGCACATCCTGGAAACCAACCTAAGAAAAAGATACGCAATGGAAATATATGATAAAAAAATAACATTTTAATTTTGTTGTTTGCTCACAGCCAAATAATAAGAAATCCACTATGCAAATATTCTCCATCTCTGCAGACCTTACATGCAACTGTTCAGGGAGGAATAACATTTATCCCAAATGTTTTATTTATCCTTAACGATCTGCTAAGACATTCCCTATCTATGTCCCACCCTTTCTGAAGGATAGCACTGGAAAATGTCTTATTGTGAATTTCAGTTTTCCAGGTTCCCAAGGTCTACAGGACACAACTCAAAGACCTCAACATGACAAAGAATGAGCTGCATGCAAATTTCTCAAATATGCTGCAAGCAATAGGAAATCAGCTGTGCTTGGAAGGGGACAAAAACCTTAAAAATAATGGTAAATCAACAAGTTTTGACAAGAGCTTATTTTTAAATAATGGTAAATCAACAAGTTTTGACAAGCGCTTATTTTTTAACAAGGCAGGGAAGAAAAAGAGATGTGTCTTCTGTGTCTACTCAGGTCTGTCTCCTTAGGTGGGCTTGTATCTTCTCAGACGTGGCTACCTAGAAAGTGGGCAATGAGCATGTCTGCCTCGTGCAGTGCCTGGAGAGAGGTGCCCAGCCTGGCCATACGTGCTCTGGCGTGGGACCTGGCAGTGGTACCAGGGCTTCAGGATTTAATTTCTGTAAGAAAAGGGTTCTGTAGGATGCCTTCCGGACATGCCAGTTCCCGTCAGCACTAATTCATGGATCTCCACAACATGCTCATCTGCATCTAATGGACAGTTTTACAGTGTTGCCTGAGAATTAAACAACTTACTGTGCTCTATGTCAGCAGCAGTCCACACACAGGACACTGTGCTAGCACCAACCCCATGTAAGACAGGAATGTCTCCTAAATTCCGAAGTGATGTGTGGTGAAGCATAGCTAAACCAGCCTGGGAGTTCACTCCCTGTGTCCAGTGCAGGGCTGTTTCTGAAATAATTTTGCCACAGCTTGGTTATTTAATTGACATCTGACAATGAGCCACCCAGAGCGATAGTTCTCTTCAGAAATTATGCTCTGAGGAGTAGGGGCATTGGGCAGAGGGGTCTTACTGTGGCTGTCGTTTCTTTGGGTATAGTTCTACAGACAAGCTAACTGTCCAGGTCTCCCTTGTAGCCAATGAAGAGAAATCAGTAGTGCAAGGATACAAGACAGACACCTGAAGCGTGAGACAAACCTACTTCTGTTCGTTGATTAAAATGGGAATCCAGATAGGTTGGCTCATGTCACCTTTGAAGACTCCTAAAATTAGGCTAAATAAATCCCAATTGCAACACCTGAACCTCCTCCCAGTGCTAAAGGAATGGGAGAGATAGGGGTGTGATTCAGTTTTCATCTCTGTCATGACCTGAACCTTCTGGGACCACAGTGGGGTTTTGACTACATGAGGGCCGTCTCAAACACCCTCAGTCCCTACAGATACTGTTGTCACAGGACAACCATGACGTTCTTTGAGGGACAGGCTGGCAACAGAAACGAGGCTATGGTTTTCCTTTTCCAGGCCAGAACTGTGTACTCTGCCCTGCAAACTGGAAGTGGGAAGGTGATGATATGTGCTACTACCACTCCGAGCAAAAGAAGTCATTCAAAGAGAGTCGCCAGTTTTGTTCCTCACAAAACTCCACTCTTCTTCTGATAAAAGAGGCAGCAAAGCTGGTATGGACTGGTTTCTCACTCTATTTCTCATTCATGGGAGAAGTTCACGCGCCCTATCAGCTACTGACCCCCCCACACATAATTTTCTTAAATGGCACCGTGAGCTGGAGTTTTTCTACAGTGGTTAAGGAGTCCTGGGCAGTGGCAAGGCATAGGACTTGTCGTTGTCACACAAAGGACAACCTTTTTGAGCAGCTGGTGGTCAGAGACAACCCATCGTGCCTTAGCTTGCCGTGGCTGGCTACTTGCTGGGCTGACTGGTGAAAGCACGTTCATGGCTGTTTGGCTGTGGGCAATGATTTCACTTATTTAACAAGTATTAGAGACCCAAAGAAGGATTTAGTAGGATATTAGCACAAAAACCTCTTTTAACCTGGCCTCCCCATAGGCAAACCATAGTCTTTTCCCGTTGTAGAAATTCTTTCCACAAAAGGTGATCTCATCTTTTCAATCAAAATTAAAATGCCAGGCAGCAAGTTGTTGAAAACTGGCCTAATTTTAGTAAATGAAAACGAACTGAGGTGGGAAGGGGAAATGCCAAGTGTAGAGTGAAATAATCCTTTTGCCTCTGGATGCCAGCAGACATATTAGAAGACTGAGGGCAGAAAAGATGACCCAAGAGATGGCAGTCGTGGCTGGTCCTGCCCGCTCTCCAGCACTCGACAAATGCCAGTTTCCCTCTCGCTGAGGCCATAAGGTTTCCTCCAGAAGTAAAGGGGAGAGGCTTTATTCTCACCTTCCCAAACCGATGACAGCAAGGATCGTGGGGGGCAATCTGTTCTCACTGCCTTAATCACAGCACTGAGAGCTGTGAGGAAAAAGAGAAAACAGAGGAGCAGCAGTGATAAGTGAAGGAAGGAAGAGAAAAACAGAAAAATGGAATTAAAATCTTTAGAGATCCCCTCAAGCAGCAGTGAAAAAGGCAACATTGGTACATGCATAAAAGCATGCTAAAAAAACACACGCTAAAGCATACGTTTACATCCTTACCTGTTCTGCTCAGAGCCTTTTTTAAGGACAGAATATTGCTAAATGCTGAAGTTTAAGACCTCCTCTGCTCGTCATGGTCCACTCGCTTTTGGGAATAAGTTAACGATGCTAGAACCAAGTGTAAAGGTTCAACAAACCAAACTCAACAGCTCCCTGCAGAGGCTTCTGTTTCACTGTTGACAAATGCTAAGGACAGAGTAAAGGAGGAGGAAAGATTCATGACTAAAGAGGGAAAAACAATGCAGTGTTTCACCCAGGGGGTTTAAATCAGGTTGATGAGGGTGACATTGCTCTTCAGAGCTAGAAGTGCATCTTCTCTCTGATTAAAAACAGCTTTACTGTGATTTATCTTTTGATGCTAGTTTTTTCCCTTCAATGCAGAACTTGTTCTGACAGGTTAACAATTTGCGGTACTTCGGTTCTTTAAGCAATTTCCATCAATGCTTTCAACTTCTGAGCCTAAATATTTATTTTTAATATCTTCCTAAATATCTGTTTTAATTGTCCTTATTCTGCATAGGAATTGGTAAAAAAGTTTCATAGAAAAATATACTGGCTTGGATTAAGATTTAGAGGTGGACAGAGAGACTGGTATTGGGCAGACAACACAGTTCTTACGGATAAACAAAAGTCTTGGTAAGTGGGCAGCTTTTCCGTGGTACATAAAGTTGGTCCTCACCCACACGCTAAATCCCAGTGTCTCTGACACGAAGGGTGCACTGAACAGCCAACTTCTATGCAGCTTTCTCTGGATTCCGGGCCTCACTTTTTCATTTCGGATTTTTTTTGGCCTTACCCAGAACAGCTTGGAGGGTGATCTAGGCAGTATTACTGGGCAAAACCTGGAAAGTTTATTTCCATGATGTGGTTTCAGACTGACCACAAATGTCACGTATTCCTCTTGCATCTAACATCTTGTTTCAGTGAAGACACACGGAAAAAACTCCAGTGGAAAGGTGCATCATTTCATGCTTTTGGTTTTATACTTTTTTTAATTCTGTATAAGACAGTATTTATTCTCTAGAATCATTTCACTTTGGTTTAGCAAGTTATTTCAGAAATACAGTACATTTTTCTTCTGGTTTTCAAATCTACTTTGCCAATTTTCCTTTTCATTATTGGGTGGTATCCTCTACACTTCTGTTGAAAGAGCCACTGACACCCTCCGGTTGGTACCCAGGAGTTAGCACAATGTCAGGCACAAGAAATGGTTTAGGATCCACCCCTGCTGGGGGTGCTTGTTGGCATGGTCAGGACAGGGTGAGCCTTCTAGGAGTTGGTACACAGTGTCACTAAATGCTTTATTTCTTTGCTGGGGGTATATATTTTTCGTGAAAGTAAAGACAGCTCTTTTTGGAAGGGGCAAGGATGAAGTGAGATGCAAAAATAAATGGTTTTCTTTCCTAGGGCAAACTATCTACCCTCCCATGACCTCTGTGGATATTTTTATTATAATGCCATATATAGCTCATCATGTACAGAAGAGCTTTACTATATCTGTGAAAAGCCCGCCATCCAACTGCAGCGAGGTAACAACCGTTGGCAGGACGACTGGTTTGTCAGACCAAAATGATTATGAGAAGCTAGAAGTCATTCTGCAAGGTTGGATTTTTTATTTATTTAGTTTTTCAGAACTGTCAAATGAGAATTTAAATATGTGGGACCAAACCTATTCAATTCCCCCATTTTCATTCTCTTTTAGACTTGTGTAAAAGTATCTTCATGCTAAGGAAACAAGCCTGGTGATGGGCTCCAGGAGCAACCCAAGTCTGTCGTTCCAGATCCAAAACTGCCAGATGAATACTTGGTTTTAACCAACACAAGTGATGGACAAAATGGTCAGCAGTGATGGCCAGAAAAAAAAGCACAGTGACAGGGCGAGCACGTAAAGATGCTGCTCCTCTCTCAAGCATCCATTGGTACAGTCCTAATTACCACTTGTCAGTTCATAACTGTACAGCTGTAACATAACGCAACTGCTGAGGATTAAACACTTCCACTCGAGAGACGCTTCTGATGTCTTGTTGATCTGACTTCTTCAATATGCTAGGATGGTGAAGTATAGAGTACACAAACACAGTTATCCTCAAAAGATGGGCCAAAGTGTTCCTGAATCATATTTCCTCTGGAGCACAGGGATTCCTAGTTCTCATAAGGACTAGTCCATGTGTCACAGTAGAAGATATCCTTCAGCTACGAATGTCTAGCTCTCTTCCATGTTCTATACTTCTTCCTGGCACTGTTAGTTCTCTTCTTAACTTTTCTTTTACTTTTTTTTTTTAATTTATTTTTTTCTTCCTGGTAATAATACTGTTCTTCTTTTCTACTTTTCTAATTTTCCACTTTTTTGATCTATTGCAAGAGTTATGCTAGGGTTCAGTGAGAGGCATGAACAGAACCTCCTCTTATGTATTTTTAGGATATTTCCTGGAATGACATACTATTCAATGTGCTGGGAAAAGGTCTACAAACCCATCCACAGTGAAAATACCCCAAGAATTTGGGATATTTGGTAATGAACAAAATATCTCCCTCCAGATCTCCGTAGAACAATGGCAGGCAGGTTGCAATAAGAAATCTCAGTCTTATAACGGCGTTTTGATTTGAGTCCACAAATTCCTTGCTTGGTCTCCCCTGGAGACTTGTGTATTCCTTGTGGATTGTGCCCCAGACTATTTATTGTGGATCATTTACCACCGTTGTAGCATCTGGGCTGTGAAAGCATTGGTCATTCCCTTCAAGATGCTGTTCTAGTATGTCACTGATCTCAGCACTGCACAGCAGTTTCTGGTCACCGACATGAGCATTTTTGTTATTTTCAAATATCAATTTCATGCTCCAGAAACCTTAGTGGATTTCTGTTCCTCTCTGCTGTTTACACCACTCACCCCGTGCATCTCTAGTGTAATCTCTCCCAGCTGCTCTCCTGGCTGTTCCTGTCTTTGGGGGTGAAAATGCAGAGTGCTTCTGTCCTGCAGCACGGACACAGCCCTGGTGTGTCTCTCAACAGCTACACTGAAATAAGATATCTCATCTGGAAGGCACCCAGAGCTGTATTCATAGTGCATCCTTTCCAGATATTGAAGGGCTTTGCTGTAATTCATGAGAAAAAATGAAAGAAAGAGAGAAAGAAAGAGAGAAAGAAAGAAAGAGAGAAAGAGAGAAAGAGAGAAAGAAAGAGAGAGAGAAAGAGAGAAAGAAAGAGAGAAAGAGAGAAAGAGAGAAAGAGAGAAAGAGAGAAAGAGAGAAAGAGAGAAAGAAAGAAAGAAAGAAAGAAAGAAAGAAAGAAAGAAAGAAAGAAAGAAAGAAAGAAAGAAAGAAAGAAAGAAAGAAAGAAGGAAGGAAAGAAGGAAAGAAAGAAAGAAAGAGAGAGAGAAAAAGTCTGATCTTCTTCTCTCTTACATTAGAGTGAATGTGAGGTAACAGGAAAGATATTCCCAGGATGTTTTTTGATTAATGCTGCATGCCTAAGAGCAGATGTGCAAATCCTAGGTGTTTCTGCAGTTTGTTGAAGACAAACATGAGGTGAGATTGAGACCTCCCCATGCTGACAGGCAGCCACAAGCCCACCTCATATCTTGCCGTGGCCTAGATCTTTTGGGTCACTTTACTGCAAATTTAAAGCAATCTCTGATGCAGAGGCAGGTGGGGTTACAGTAGGGTTTCACAGTGCCCTGGAGCTAGCTGCTTCTCCTCAAAAAACGATGATTGAAACACCAAAAAAAACCAAAAAAAACCCCCAAATCAACGTTACCCCAGGGAAGAAAGGCAAAAGGCAGTGTCCTACCATTCACTGCAGACATGAAGACTGCTGCAGGCAACAACAACCAACCTTATCCAGCAAAGGCTGAATCTGGCAGATGACATGCTCTTGTGGTGCTGCAACCAGATGGGGCTTAAGGACGCGCTGGCTGTATCCCCTTTGCCACTCAAAGGAGCTTTTCCTCACAGATGACAAGACATAGGAAGGGACTTGTTCGTGTGTTGGCTTTTTTGAATCACAGTTCTTTACAACAGCATGTTTCCCATGTCTAAATTCCATTCCTCCCCACATCCCCCCCAAGTCATAGACTCCAGATAAGGCAATTTGAAAGGTCACATTCTGGTTAATAAACCCAGCCATTTTGCTCAGCCTGCTGACAAACATTTGTAGACCTGCTGTGTTCAAATGTAGACCCAAACTTCTTCCTTAGCTTATTTTTCTTTTTCATTTTAGTCTGAAGAAATGAGAAATTTTCTCTGCCCTGGACCTTTACAAGAACAGAGAGCATGATGATGAAGCCCCACCTAACAACTTTTGTTACCTCTGTTCTTACAGCAGGATCTGTTTTAAAAGAAGGCTCAAAAAAAGAAGTGATATAATTAACAGACTGCTTATTGAATACAGAGCTAACAAAAGAATACAAGAAAATTACTTTACCTCCTGTTTCCTTTGCAGAAGTAAGATCAGGTTGGAGAAAAGTTTTCCCAAAGGCAATTCATTACATGAAGTTGCTGCTAAGAGTGAGGAGGTTACTGTCATGAAAACTTGCAATGAAGTTCAGTAATATAGACACACTTGGCTCCCAGTTATCTGCAGAAAAGCCCTTTTCACAGTAAGGTGCCAACATACAGTTTTCAGGCCCACTAGACAAGTATTTTTGCACCATATTTAGTGTGGGTTTTTATGAGGATATTATGGGTACACCATGAGCATGCGGTGCCTGCTATTCCTTGTGTGCCTCTCTGTGTAACAAAATTGACTGTAGGTACCTTTTATTCCCAACTTTTCCACCTTCCATGCTTTGCATGCAGGTAAGATATAATGCAAGAAATACATGCAGCCAGAGGTATTTCTACCCTGAAAAAAATCTATTATCTGCACAGCAAGGCAGGATGAATACCCCAGTCATTACAGTGTATTTCCAGTCTGTGGATATTATTTTGCAAGCGGGAGACTCTGAACTTTACACACAAGAACATGAACAGCTACACAGAAATTCCCCTCTCTCACAATTTCCTCCTGACTCACCCTGTCACCACGACGTGACTCATCGTGTCTGGGCAAGTGCTCGGTTAAGGAGAGTTGGTTGCTGAAGATGTGTAAGAACTACAGCTCAACACTGGAGCCAGCCACTGCAGAGAGCTAGAGATGGAGGGAGAGGATGGATAAGCCACTCCTGCACAGTGACTTCTGCGTACAGTGCAACAGCAGAGAGGTCTTCAGCGTGGTCTGGTCTTTCCCTGACGCAGGCTGAGTGAGTGGTCACTTGAATCCTGCCAAGCACCAGGCCTCACCATCCTTTTAGCTCAGCTTTTCCCCTTCTAGCATTTGTTTCAGAGAATTTTTGCACAATAATTTCATTTTTCATTTATTTCATAACAGTGAATGGGAATGTAGCCTATTGCTCTCTGTGCAGCTGTTAGAATCATAGAACTGTCTAGGTTGGAAGGGACCTTAAGATCATCTAGTCCAACCATCAACGTAACTCTGACAAAAACAAAAAAACTCACATCCCTAAACCATGTCTCTAAGCACTATGTCAACCTGTCTTTTGAATACCTCCAGGGATGGAGGTTCAATCGCTTCCCTGGGCAGCCCATTCCTGTTGGGTGCTATTTGTGCCCTGATATATGAACAGATATCTTTCACACCTTAACTCAAAATAGCAACTATTTCTAGAGCATCTTATTTTGAGGAGGTAGAAAATTCTGATGTTTTCTGTATTTACAGGGTCTGATCAGGTGGATAGTTAAATGAAACAGTCTTAGGTTCTAGCCAGGAACCAAGACTCCTGGTCTTTGCATCCAGGAAGAAAACACACATCCTTGACAGTGTCCTTAACTTGCTTTCAATACATTACATTTTTAGTATGACACAGTAATCAGAACAGAGCCAGCTTCCTCCGTGGTTTCACTGGAAATCCTGAAACGTGAACCATTCCCGTGGCTCCAGCACTGGTCTCACTGCAGTGTGCCCTTACTCCCAAAGCGCTCCTGTTGCAGACAGAAGTGTGATGAGCTGGAGATGGAGGATGAGGAAGGCTACACCGCTTTAAATTTACGACCCTCAGCTTCAGTTATTACTTCTGGATATTCGAGCAGCAACAAATGTTCTACATTCAAGGCTCCGGCCAGTTGTGTCAGAGTAGACAGTAAGTACAGATGGAAATTAGGTTTTCTATCTAGATCATAACTTCATATAACTTCAATTTACATAGTCATGTTGTTTACTATATAATCCCTTTAAACTTTATAGTATGTTCCTAGATAAATGTTCAAGGAAACAACAGAGACAATAATCATAATGGAGTCTTGCGTGCAATAGTTTCTGAACAGAGATGATATTTTTTCTGAAGCTTATCTTTACTCCAATTACTTTTCCCATTTACTTCCACACAGAAGACAAATTTCACCTTTCTATAGATTTTTTTTTATTATTTTGGTAGGACTCATTTATTACAGCAAGGCTCTACAAGAGAGGAAGGCACTGTATCAGATAATGAGTGCCTTGGAAATGGAAGCAATTTACTCAGTTGTGGGGAGTAGAAAGGTGCTCTGTTTATTACTTATAATAGTGAAAGTATATTCACTATATACTGTATGGGTGTATATGTTTTTATTTGTTTATACTCAAAGTTTTTCTATAAAAAGCTGGGTGTTAACTAAGGCATTGTATTGTGCCCATGGAATGTCTGAGACCATAAAATGATCACTTGAGTACTGTTGCCGTGGCTCAGCAATTCACACTGTGTGTGAAATAAAGATCATGCTGGGCAGGGTAGAAAAAGACTAAATTAACATCACCCTGGTGCTATCTGGAAAAGAAAGATCATGCTGGGCAGGGTAGAAAAAGACATAAATTAACATCACGCTGGTGCTGTGTGGAAAAGATCTAGGACTATCCATTGAGAATGATCACTTGACAAGGAGGATGGAGGAGAAGCTGTTGAGAAGCAACAGTCAAAAATCTAAGGATAAAATATTAGTGAGTGTGATCTAGGGGCAGAGCTTCCTGGAAATGAATAGGTTGGCAAGCTCTTAAAATGGCTTTTTGATATGCACAGAGACCAGGTAAAGTAGATAGACTTATGACTAAATTCGGCTGGGAGGGATGGCTATAGTTTATCTTTTCCAATCTTTTGCTCAACAGCTCTAAAGTCTGATCAAGTTTAATGTTTAATGTTCACAGTTTAATGTTCAAACATTGCAGTCATTTAGAAATCCCAATCACAGGTTCTAGAAGTAATTATTCAGAGCTAGATGGTAATTTTCCCTTTACACGGTGGAGAAGTCTTAGAGGTTGTTTTATTATTTCCAGGACTGTGGGAACTGCAAAATATAATCCATTTACTATCTCATGAGAAGAATTTTTATTTTAAAACACTAGAGCCTCAGTTATTAAATAATCTCAGTGGATAAATAGGTATTTTCTTAAAATAACTCCAGGAAATTCAGAAGAGTGATAACAAGCACTGCTCTGCAGAAGGTGTAAGAAGGTATAAAGGTGAACTGCTGCTGTCAGAGAGGAGGTAGGACCACTGCGTGGTGAGGAAAGCCGTTGGTTTTGTTGCTGAATGGGTTTTTTATTTGTCTCAGGAGCCTCTTCCTCGTCTTCCATATGGCGGACAGTGGCCTTTGTTTTCCTCGTGTTGTGCCTGGTGTTGCTGTCGGGGCTGGTAGCCCTGTTGGCCCTGTGTAAGTACTGCTGTGTCTGGACATGTGGCTGTTGGAGTGAATTCCAGCTGTACAACTACTTCTTCTCACCCCAGAAAACTTTCCCTGGTGTCCGGGTTTCTTCCAATGGAAATAATCCAGCAAGAAGGGCAGCAGTACAGCTCTGCCACAAAAATCCCCCCACAAATCATTGTCAGCACAGGTCACTTGGGGTCACAGAATCACACAGAATCTTCATGGTTGGAAGGGATCTTTGAGATCATCGATTCCATTCCAGACACACACAAAATAAACCCCAACATAACAATTTTGGGCACTAGAGCATGCCCTGAAGTGCCACGTCTACATGTTTATTAAATACCTCCAGTGGTGACTCCACCACCTCCCTGGGCAGGCTGTTCCAGTGCCTGACCACTCTCTCAGTAGAGTAATTCTTCCTAATATCTAATCTAAACCTCCCCTGACACAACTTTAGACCATTTCCTCTGGTCCTGTCATTATTCCCTTGGGAGAAGAGGCCAACCCCCACCTCTCTACACCCTCCTTTCAGGGAGCTGTAGAGGGCAATGAGGTCTCCCCTCAGGCTCCTCTTCTTCAAACTAATCACTAATATCTGCATTTATAGTTACCCTAACCCTAAGGGTTACACTAATCCTAATGCAATACCTAAATCTAACTGACTCTAACCCTAAACCTAATGCCTAACCTTAACAACCCTAATCCTAACACTAAAGTTTATCCCTAACCCTATCCCAATCCGTATGCCTAAGCATAAACCTAACTCCTAAACCTAACCCCAACCCCAAACCTAAATCATAACTTTACAGGTAACATCTAATGCCTAACCATAATCATAATGACTCTAGCCCCACTTCTAACCCTAACTCCAACCTTAAACCTAATCCCAGCCTTAATGTATATACCTAACCCTTACCCTAACCACTGACAAACCCTAACCCTCACCTTAACCCTAATCCATTTCTGAAATGATGAGTTTGCACAGGTAGAAACTCATCTCGTTAGCCACACTCTCTGGATAATGGTGCCCCCCCGTGACTGTTACTGGAATATTTCCCGGTTCCCTCTTCTTGGTTTGAAAGCTTTTTGCAGGGAGGGCAATCCTGGCATCAAATCACTGTGACTGGTGCATTTGCCTAACGATTACAGCAGATTTTCCGCAGCAACATTTCAATTAATGACAAAAGATGATGGCACATTACATTTGGAAGCAGAGGCAGAGAGTCCCCAGTGCCTTTTTGGAAGGAGGAAAGCAGTTGCGAGCGCCCAGGATGAACACTCAGGGTGGTCCATGGCATCACTGAAATGTTAACTCAGAGGGAATTCTTTAGGTTTCTAGTCTGACACCCACCCATTAGTCCCCACTATTCAAAGCTGGACTATCACCAACCCCAGATAAAGTAATCTGTAGCTTTGTCAAGATGACTTTTGAAAATCTTCAAGGGTGGAGATGCCCCCCACTTTCCCGGTGATTTCTTCCAGTGCTGCACAACTCTCCTGGTGAAGACAATGCGGATGATGTACACACAATGGTGGACATACAAATGAAGTAGACAAAAATTAAAAGAATGCCAAAAGCAACAAAATAAAGTTAAAAGCTTTTTTTAAAAAATCTTTGATCAACGCTTCCATGCCTTTCAGTTTTTCAGGTTTCCAAGGATCCTGAGGAAGGAAAGAAGCTGCGGGAAATGAGGGAAGCGTTGTGTTTGGAAGGGAAGGAGAAAAACGGTAAATGCGGTTGCCACGTAAATAAACGCAAATCACCTCCTTTTCAGAGGCCATTGACTGAGGGACTATAAAATCAGAGGGAAAAGATCTGGTCGGGTAGTGTCTGTTTTTAACTGTGGTAGTATGTGAGTTGTGAGTGTGTGCACACTAACCTGCAAAACAACTTGTCTTTCACCCCTGAAGAGCTGGGCTGATTCATGGCTGCCCTTAAACTCTTCTCACTCAAGCCCCTGTATTCCTCACAGACCTGCCTAATACTTTTTCTGATTTCTAGGGACAAAATGTGCCGTCTGTCCAGCCAGCTGGGTAAACAGCGGAGCTGACAGCTGCTTCTACATTTCAAAGGAGAGGAAAACATGGAAGCAAAGCCAGGAGTTCTGCTCCTCGAGGAACGCCACTCTTCTTGTGCTGAAAGACACAGCAAAGATGGTACAGTCTTAACCTCATGCATTCTTTTATGTCACGTTTTAACTTGTAGGCAGAAATGAGTTTGATCGTTTACAGTGCTTGTATTTAGTTTTGTCCGGGTCCAGTAGCCTTCCTGCAAGTCACAAGATTGTCACAACTTGGGACACTTTCTAAACTGTGAGCTGTGGGAAATAGTCAAACTGTGTATTAGGAGAAATAGAATAAGCCATTGTATAAAATACTTTAATAGCTAATGCTTAGGTTTTCACAAAGAAAACAAATTGTGCATTATACCACAGAGGAGAGAGCCACCACAGAGAAGGCATGTTTCCATTGTCTCTTTCCACAAGTCTTATGGAGGGGGTCCCAGCATCAAACCCACATCAACGTGAAATCTGGGAGAGTGGCCAATTCACCGTGGTACTGTCATTTGCACCCTGCAGTGCCAAGTGACTACTACAGGTTGTTTTCTGACCTTGTGTCATCCCTCACAGAGTGGTGTTAATCATGTCACAGCAGATGATTATATTATGACAACTGAAAAATATTTACTAGTCTTACTCATTTAGTTTGGGTTTTTTGTTGTTTTTTTGTTTGTTTGTTTTTTCTGAATAATGAAAGATCTGTAATTTGCTGTTAAGACCCTATTTTTCCTTTTATGTACACACATATCTGGGAACCTCTTTTTCAACAGCTTACACAAAGCCCAAATGTCCTTGTTGTCTTTTTACCACATAAAGCTTTTTAAAGGGTAGAGATAAAATAGGAATTGGAGAAATGCTTTATTATTGAGTTTAGTGGCATCCTGAGGTCAGGATCATGGCTCACAGTTGCGAGACACCGGAATACCACAACTTCAGTGCTGAATTCAAGAGATGCTTTTCGTATGCTGTATAAATCCCTGGATAGTTTGATTTCAGATGTCTGGGTGCTTGCTTTTTCTTCCATGATTACTATAGGCAGCTGCAGCCATACTGAGGCCAGGCAAGGTTATGCCAGCTGTGGATTTTAGATTTTGTACGAGTCCCTAAGCATGCTACAAAGCAGCAGTAGAGCATCTGAAAGATCTGAACAGGCTAAGATGCTGAGGAACCTCTTTCAGGTGCCTAAGCATAGGTTTCTAGGGCTATCTGACATGCCCAAGGGTCCTCTCCTTGACCTCAGCAAGGCACAGTTCTCCCGTAGGTTCTGGGTCTTCTCTATCAACCATATGCAAAGACCTCAGAGAGGCTGGAGAATCTCAAAAGCTGTTGGAGGGCTGCATTTAGGCAACAGGCTCTGCCCTCTAGGCTGGGATTCATCTCACCTGACTTCAGGCATCTGCAGTGTAAGAGGTCTGCAACTTCAGAGCTCCTTCCCCAGGCTACTTCTGTACAGTCAGTGGGAAATCTGGCCAACGCAGTCACTATTCAGTAGCACTCCCATTGGGTGAGATGAATCACTTCTCAGGCTCCATTGGATCCGTTGGCCAGATCTCTGCTGACTCTAACTGGGTCTTAACTGGTGCTCCCATATTTGTATCTATACTGCAGATATCTGAAGGCAGCATAGACACCTAAAGGCAGACCAGATAAAGCTGCCTTTTTTTTTTTTTCTTTTTCCTTTGAAAAAGCAGTGTTTTCACAGATCCACAGTGCATTTGTCTTGTCACAATTCAACAAACAACGGTATTTGAATGATCCTATAATTAGAGCCGTCAGCACTGCCTCATGGAGAGCAAGCATGGACAACGTGTTACTCTCCTATTGAGCAAGAGCTATCTCCTTAGGTTGCAGAACTTTCACAGCTGCAAGATACAAGAACTTGGGTCTTATTTTTGAAATATTGTGATGATTTTCCCACACCTACAGGTTTCTCTGCCACAGGATTCACAGCTCTACTGGGTTGGATTATCATACGTACACGAAAGGAATGGCTGGTACTGGGAGGATGGAACGGCTTTTTCAAAAGAAGTGACAAAACGGTAAGCCTTCATAACTTAGGACCAGTATGGTTCTATCTGATGGGCCCCAGTAAATTATATGAAACCTGTGTTTCCTCTTTCCCGTGTTTGTCACATGTGCAATGACAAAGGAGCGTGGAGATCATAGCATCTGCTATGGAGGTCTGAATTCGTGTCCTGTGTAAGGAACAACGGGTGGCAAAGTACAGCTCCATCACATGCACCAGACACAAGAGGACCACTTAGCACAAATGAAATAGCTCCAAGGGGAAAATAACTCTGCATTCCAGTGACAAATCAGTACGATTAGAAATGGTCCAAATATAGATCACATGATGTCATTGGGACATCATTAAGCCATATCTTTTCGTTTTCTAGGGCCGTGTTATATGACAACATCTTCTGTGCTTCTGTCTATGGACAGATTATTTATGCCAGCCACTCCTGTTCAACAAAGCAATTATGGATCTGTGAGAAAGGGGCCGTTCATTTCACCTGAAGAGGCATTGCAAGAAGGGATGTGGGATCTGCTGCTGTGAGATACCAGCTTTAGGAACTGGAACTTTTAAATGTATTTTTATTTTTGTTTGTTTAGCATGCAGTTTTCTCAGAATAGTGATTCAAATGGACAGGTCATTAGAGATCAAATCTTCCTCTTTGCCTGCATTTTCCCTCCCTGGCTCACAAATGAGAGAGAGAAAAAAATACTACAAAGCTAAAAACCACAGGCCTAAGAAGCAACATGAAGGAATTAGCTACAGTCAAGCAATGAGTATTGTGTGTCTCTTTAGGTTGACAGCCACACATTCTTGTAGGTCTCTATATTTCTTGAGCTTTAATCAGCACTTTACGCTAACACCTGGCAGTCATAAACCAGCTGCATCCTTGATAATTTACTGTCTGAGTTACTTACTCTACACACTAACTACTCTCCACCCATAATTCTCTTCTAGATCAGTTTGCCAAGGCATACCTTCTTTCCTAAATCTATTCTTCTCTCTGTTCCCCTGTTTAAGGTATAGAGATACAGAAAGAATGCAAGGCTCTATTAATCCATAAAATTCTTTTCACATATGCATTAACATTTATAGAAAAAAATATATATTTTCAGAAGACTACAGGGAATGTCTTGAAACAATTTCTATTAAAAGTAGAGTCAAATGTCATGGCTGAATTAAAACATTACCTGAATAACTTCAATGCAACCATAGTGTTAATTGCTGTGCGAATAACAGGGAGGATAATAGTTATGTGTTCCATTCAGAGCTACACACAGTCACTCAAACTGATGCAGAATCCATTGCCACAAATCTTACTTGACCTCTTGTATTATATCTACACTGTTTGGGTTCTCTGGAGTCCAAGGTAAGTGCTATGCATCATGTGTTATTAAAGCACTTGTCATACTTCTTGAAAGAATATGATGCCTCCACTTTTCTGGGTGGAGTTTCATTGCAGGAGTTCTTTGAAGTTCTGTATGTCAGCATCTGGTTTGTATTACATACGCACATATTCCTTGTATATATATTCCTTATGTCTATGTGTATATGCCTTAGTATTTGGAGACTTTCCTAAAAATAAATGAAAAAATAATAATATGTCTTTAATATTTAACATTTCATTGGAAAATACTCTCAAAGATTGAAGCGGTTCCTTGGTTAAAAATGAAACCTTTGTCCCAATGTGCCGAAAGATATTTGTGAGCTGAATCAATTCACTATACTCAGTAGAGCCAAGTCTTAATTTATGGATGCAAATACCAGTTAACTATCTAGAATTCCTTACTATTGCAGTAGGAAGTGCAAGGTACAATGCAAGGAAGGTACAATGTTTCATCTGGTTCAACCCACTCAACTTGAAAAAAATAATTCACAGCAGGCTTCTACGCTGCCACGCTTTACCTCTTTTTCTTCCCATAAATTGACTCTTGATTTTTTCCTAGCAATCTGCTGTATTCCACTGTTTGATGGCTGCATCGTGAAAACATGGGTTTCCTGTGCGCTGTCTGGTGTGACTTTTTAGGGAGCATTCCCCATTACTGCAGTCAGTGGTGGTAACTTCCAGGGTACCTTTCTTTCTTTCTTTTCTATGGCTGGATGATCTTTGTAAACTATTTCCATATCTTTATATAGTGAACTCCATTTGGCCCCCGCAGCTTGGAAAGGGCTTTTCTCCTGTTAAGAGCAGCGCATTCCAGAAGGAACAATTTATAGTATCTAGTATTTTAAATTAAAGCAAATTTATTATTTCATCCAGTCTGCCTTCTATTTTAAATGTTGTCAAAGTTCTCCTGCCTACACACAGATGGAGTCCAAGACACAAGCTGCTCAGGGAAGTCCACTATCTTTGGGGGTAGGGAAGGTCCACAATCTTTCTCTGGCACTGGGAAGTTTGGAGAAGTGGTTCTTTTGAAGCACATTTTGTATGGAAAATAAAACCCAGTATTATATATTGTGTGAGAGTAAAGCCCTTGGCAGATCCTGAGACTTCATAAATTTTGAAAGGTTTCAGAACTAAAGACGAGTTGTTGGCTTCAACATCCCTTCAAACAGGACACGGACAGTGAAGGAGATGGGGGCAAAGTGAATAAAGGGGTGCATTGGGGAATGAGTAGTGCCATTCTGAAGTGGAGGCATGGCAGCTTTACATTTGCCCATCTACAATGAGATAACAAAGACAGAGAAATGAGAGGAGCCACGGGAGGAGCTGCTGGATAGGAAAAAACAGAGTTCATGTATGTCTGGAAGGCGGCTTCAGAAATAACAGAGTTGAACCAAACACCCTGGCTGCACAGTGCTTCTTCACATCCTCCACTACATTCTCTGCTCCAGGCCCTCCAGTGCATCCTCTCTTGTTCCCAATGGCCTCCATCATCCTTGTCATGAGCACAGCAGCTGCCCTGGAGGGGGTTCAGACTTGCCAGTAGATGCCAGTGCTCACAGGCTGAAATGCATTGTCAGCAAGATGCTAAATAATATGATGAAAATCTGTGTTCACAGACACTGTCTGTAGAAAGCAAGAAAGAAGACGCCCACCCTGTGAAGTTCAGCCAATTCACTAAAGAATCTGATGCTCATCTGTTCTTGGATCTTCCTTCTATGTTCTTTGTTTTTCAAATCAGAATCTTAAACAAATTAAGCCTTATAACATCTTTCACTGATGTGCTTTTAAATCACTAAGAGGTGACTAAAAGGGTACAAGAAGGTGCCCAAGAGCACAGCTGAATGGCAGACATGGGACCAGCTCTTTATCAGCAAGTGCTCCTTTGGGGCCCTCTATCTTGTCCCCATATTCATACCTACACTCTGCCAGGGCTGATTAGAGCACTACTAGAGGCAACTAACAGAAACCATAGTAGGAAATCCCAGTTAGACACAAGGAGAACTTTCTTCACAGTGGAGGTGACCAAACATAGGATGGGTATTCAGAGAGGCTGGGAGATCTCCGACCTTGGAGACTGTGCGAACTTGACTGGACAAGCCCTTGGGCACCTTCATCAGTTCAAAGCTACCCCAGCTGTGAACAGGAGGTTGAACCACATGACTTCCAGAGGTTCCTTTCAAACAATGGCACTTAAGACACCATGGCTCTGCCGTGTGTCTTTTCCTGGGGATGGCCAGACTCCTTGACACAGGTCTCAATCTGGCTCAAGCATCTCTAATGACAAGTTTCCAGTCACACAATCTCACTATCACATCAGTCTAAGTCTGCCCTGGTCTTTCCCACAGTATCTTCTCTCCTTAACATGATCTCTCAACTGGTATAATTTTGTCCATGGAGTGTGGTCCTTCACTCTGTCTTTGCCTTCACTTCATCAGTTTTTGTATTTTTTTCTGTGTTAAATTAAATAAACAACTACTCATCTGAAACATCTGAGGCAGCAGGTGAGGTGCCAACCTTTCTGAAACTTCTCTCTTTACATGGTGACTTTGATACATCCTACGTCCTCCTGGTAGGGAAACTTCCAGAGGAAAAAGGGGAGAGTGCACAGCACTGTGCAGAAAGGCCAGCAAGGTGTGAGCAGGGCTTTGCAAAAAGAAAAAGGGGCTCCTACTGAAGTTGGGTGGTGCAGAGAATTTGAGTTACTAAAAAAAAGTATTATTCAGTCTGTTTCTCACTTTCTAAGTTTTTCTCTCCAAGTTACAAGAAAGGGGAACAGATGATGCTACTTCAGGTTCCTTTGGGCATTCCCCCCTAAAAATCATTAGTGAGTCTTCCCTTCATACTCATAGTTGTCATGGAAAGATTCAATCTGGGAGGGACCTCTGAAGTCCCTCTGGTCCAAACTCCTGCCCAGCAGGTCTAATTTCAAAGCTAGATCAGATTAGTCCAGTCCCTATCTAGTCAAGTTCAGAAAATCTCCAGTGACAGAGATGACACACCCTGTCTGGACACCTCTTCTTATATCTGACCACCCTACTTCTTGTCCTTTTACTGTACACCTCTAAGACTCTGGCCCCATCTTCTCCATAGCCCCTTTATGCAGTGAGAGATTGCAGTTGGATTCTCCTTAGCTTTCTCTTCTCCAGGCTGAACAAATCCAGTTGCCAGAGTCTGCCCCTGTAAATCAAGTGCTCCAGCTCCTAAGCATCTTTATGGGTCCCTTCTTGACTGGTTTTAGCATTTATGTATTTGATGGGATTTTTTAAATTTTTTATTTTTTTTTTAATGGGGAGCCCAAAACTGGACATAGTTCTCTAGCTACATATTCAGAAGTGATGGAGAACTCCATCACCTCCTTTGCTCTGCTAGCTGCACTCTTGCTAGGTCAGTCCAGTATGTGGCTAGCCCTTGCCACAAGGGCTCGCTTCTCTTATTTGTTAAATCCTGTCTGTGCCTTTTTACCCACACCCTGATTTCCCACTTCTCCCACTGAGAAGACGACATTAGACCGTGGACAGCACTTCTGCCTCCTCTGTGTGATTAAATAGCTTCAGCAGCTATTTGCAGCTGAAGTTAGTCTGCCTCTGAGATGAATCAAAGGTGTTTGTTCTGTCTTAAAATGTGGAATGTTCAAAGGAGATGAAAGTTGTGGGAAGGTTAAATTGAAAAGAGGGGAGCTACCAGACCATACTTTTACTGGGACTTGTGTCATCTCTACATGTCCCAGACCCAGGGTGAGATGTGATGAGTGGGAAGAGAGGAGTTCCATCCCTGAGGGAGGAAAGGGAGGAGTCACACATAATACTTGAATAAGAATGCCTTAGGGCATTTGAAGTGTGACTCATTCTCCTATCCCCTCCCTCTTTCTGCTTTTCTTTTTGCTTCTCTTTCACAAATCGTTCAGTCCGTCTTTTAAGAGGACCATTACTGAACCACGAATGAGTTCTCGGACAATGCATATGAATACAGAGGAAGAGGATGGATACGCTCATTTAAATCCCCTGCCACAACATCCAGTCAGACACTACATGTCTTTGAACATCAACCAAGGTATGGCAGAAGCTTGCTCTTTGGACTTGCTGCCCAATGGTAGACAATGACAAT